GAATTGGCCATGATACCCAGCCCTACAGATGAATGTGACATGAGCGTTCACACTGCAGTCACTTTGAAAACATCAGAGATATGTATCCGATTTAAAACCACATACTGAAACGGCCTGGGTCGGATTTGAAAAAATCGGATTTGTCGCGTTCAGACTGTCATAAAAAAATCGGATACGAGTCAGATGGGTCAAAAAAATCGGATTTGGGTCGGATTTGCCTGCAGTGTGAACGTAGCCTAAATAACGACAATGACTGATGAGGTTTCCAACAGATCAGCCAATCCAAAGCAGACTGGGACAGGTTTATACTGGGCCAGGATTCAGTCCCAGAGACCACCAATCTATGAAACTTACCAGGACTGCTGTCATCAGAGCTCTTACCTTCTCTGGATGTGGCAGACAGGACAGAAGCTCAACGGTGCTCTGGGACAGCTGGGGGTCAGGGGTCATAGGTGGCGGTTGTAAGGTCATGGCTTCTCGGACCACCTGGTACAGAGTCCTGGTGATGAGAGGAGATGGCAGCTCACGCAGGTAGTCCTTCAAAATACCTGCGAGAACACCAGAGTACAGTCCACTGAAGTCAGCGTCATCCGGTGAGGTCCTGAGGCCTCGTGGACCAAAAAGGGCGGAGCTTAAAGAAGAGGATCTCAGGGTTTGGTAGTCTAAGTCCGAGTCCACGTCTCACTAACCTGTAATGACATTGATGTCGGGGTAGAGGTCCTCTGAGAGACAGACGTCTGAACTGTTCCTATCAAACCAGTCTCTGAGCTCCTTCTTCATGGCAGCAGAACCACAGAGTCTGTACAGACCCACCACCTGACACAAACCAGCAACAAGTCAGCGCCGTGCGTTACGGCAAGCAAGTGACGTCAGCGTGTTTGTTACCACCTTCAGCCCCCGCCGTTCGATCTCCGCCACGGTTTTCTGGATCAGCAGGGGAACCGCAGCTGCAGACCCTTCTTTCTCCACCAGGTGGTGCAGTTCGACCCCAAACACGTTGGAAGATCTCGTTGGGTCCTCGCTGTGCTGCTGACACCAGTACTCGCTCACAGTAACTCTGAGAAGCATCGTTTGTAGTAATATTTGGAGTTTTTGTTTACCTGCGTGTCCCATGTTTCCTGCAGAGTCAGTTTGACGTAAAGCAGGCCTCTGGGCTCCAGCTTCACACAGAGCTGCTGGGTACGGCTCCCTGAAACAGAACACGCTCTGAACGTTTCATGGATCACCTGTTTGTTCCGATTACTACAAATAATCTGCAACAAACCTTTAAAGAGTGGTGGGAGGAAGACCCCACCCAGAGAGCACACTCGGTTTTTAGTTGGACCATCCGAAGGGGGAGTCTGGTCACCAGCTGCTGACGGACCGCCTGAAGAAACAGAAAAGCACTTATTTCCTGATACGTCTTGGTAGATGTAAAAATGTTTTATGAGCCTTTAGCCAAGATTCTGACATTAAGGAACCAAACATGTCTGTTTAAATGGCAGATCTGAAGTTAACAGAAGTTAAATTGTGTTTCAAGAAATAGAAAAAAAAAGTGGTATGAGCTGCACAGTGCTCATAAGTGAAAAAAATAAAGAGTTTCACATAAAGCATTATTATGATGACAGCGTTATAATAATACATTTTATTTATTAGCACCTTTCAAGACACCAAAGGTCACTTTACAAAATTAAAAACAATACAGAGTTACAATTAAAAAGCACGTATTGTTTAGAAATAGATGTAATTGGTGCTAATATAAAACCAATGTGATTACTTGTGTAAAAGAAAGGCCAGCATAAAGTTTACAATACTTTGTATGTTCTTCATGAAGTAAAGTAAATAATAAATCTTAAGTCTAAACATAAAAAATAAATGTTAAAAAGTGTGGATAAATTATAGTCTGCATTTTAAGAATTATTTAAGCACTGTGTTTTGGAATGGAACGCAGTCTTTGCCTTTTGTGCTTTGCTTTTATTGTGATGTCATCATCCTGCGACAAAAGCAACCGCTAACATTGCTAACTCTGCTGAAGATGACGATGAAAATTTTAATATAAAATGTGTGCAGTTTGATGTCTTGTAGGGAAGCATTAGCGGCATTAGTAGCGTTAGCAGCCTTAGCGGCATTAGTGTGTATTACCAGTGTTGGCAGCATTAGCAGAGTTAGCAGTGTTAGCAGAGTTAGCAACATTAGCAGAGTTTAGCAGCATTAGCAGAGTTTAGCAGTATTAGAAGTGTTAGCAGAGTTAGCAGTGTTAGCAGAGTTAGCAGCATTAGCAGAGTTTGTGGCTGTGTCCAAAACGACAGGCCGGGTCCTCCGGAGGACCCAGACTCCCCGGTCTCGGCGGGCCGGGTCCTTGGTAGACCGGGAAGGACCGGAAAAAAAGAGGCTGTGCATTTGGACGGTCT